TAGACAAAATAAGTTTGGGAACCACTGATCTAAACTTTCGTATTTAAAACATTAGTAAGATTATAGATTGTCAAGTTATTGTTACAATTGAACTGTTGTTACAATTGTAAAAGTGATATGTCAAAATCTCGTAGCTTTGTTACTTATTCATGTTACTTTGTAACTGTTGTCAAAAGCCTTAGCGATGATTAAGTTACGTACCGGAAGATCACGTCTTTTACCTTTCATCTCGGTCCATTCTTAAGTTGAAACGTGCTCTACATAAAGTTACATCTGTGGAATATTGTTACGACCGGATACTATTGTGTAACTAAAATACTTACGACCTTCTTCCGGTTGTGTTTTGACTTTTAAAAGGTAAGAGTTCTTACCTTTCTATCAAACCTAATGCTTTTTACAAAGCTTCCTTCCTTAAGTATAATAAAATCTTTGCACAAAGCTTGGAACTATATCACATACTTTATTTATGAATGGAAACATAAAAACTTTTATTTTTTTTAATCTGTGTCTTACGTAACATATTTAAGGTCATACATTTACTTGTAATATTATTGTTTCCGTTTGTGACTTCATTGTCAATATAAAATAACTATTACTTTTAAATTTAAATAGACTGTCGGAAAGAGTATTTGAAATGCAACATAAAAGAAAGTTTGTCACGAGATATCTTGGATAAAGTCATGTCATTTCCTAGTGTTAGATCGTTGTTATAAAGGTCTAGCTGTTGCACGCAACTCCATCCGTGCGGATTATAAAAAAGACTTGATAAGTAGCCTATGTGTTCTTCCAGACTATGTTCTACATCTGTGTCAACTATCATCAAAATCCGTTGACGCGTTCCGGAGATACCATCAAACAAACATCCATCCATCCAAACATTCGCATTTATAATATTAGTAAAATTGTTGTCTTTGACGCTACAATGATGGCGTGAGTCAGTTCACGCGAACATCCAATTTGTTTATACATCAACAAAACAAATTGTTACCGTCCTTTGTTTTAGTCTTCCGACAAGTTATTCTTTTTAAAGCCGTGTTTTCATTATAAATGTGCTTTTGTTTCGTTCGCTAAGTCATTACAAGTTCTACGGAAAGCATATACGATGAGTGTATTATTCTTATGGTGAAGGAAAACATCGTGCTGCAACCTGCACATATCTGAGCAGATATTCAAAGATGTGTGAAGTCAACCAACTCGCACTTGGCCAGCGTGGTTGACTATGGTCTAATCACCCTTAACTTAGGGTAGACTCCGAGCCCCTCGGTGGGGACGTATAGTGAGCTGATGATGATGATGATGGTGTATTATTCAGTGACATGGGATATGTTTATGTTTTTTAATTTGTAGGTGATTTCTCTTACAATTTGATTTTATATAACATTAACACATTTTAATTATGCTAGTTAGACATTGAAGTAAGTACACGAGGATTTTTATCTTTAAGACTAGCGGTTGCCCGCGACTCCGTCCGCGTGGGATTAAAAAAATAGCATACGTGTTCTTCGAGACTATGTGTATGCCAAATTTGATCAAGATTCGATCAGAAGTTTTGGAGATACCTTCAAACAATAATCCATACATCCATCTATATAAACATTCGCACTTACAATATTAGTAAAAAGTGAAATTACCTTATATTACAGTGCAAATGTTCACGTTTTATTTCTGGTACTGTGATTTGAAGATTAAACATCTGATCTGTACTAAACTTTCTAGATATTTTGTCGGTTAAAAAGGATTATTTCAAAAACAATGTCTGTTAATTTATTCCATCAGCTGGCAACCCTAGCGCCATCTCGTGCCGAGAACTCGATACACGAATCATTTTCTTTATGT